GGCCTATAGCAAAAACCTCTCAAAAAAAAAAAAAAAAAAAGAAAAAATCATAACCTAAAACAATATTTCTCAAAATGTGTTTCATGTTAGATTTAAATAATAAATGCAAAGAAAGGATTCTAGGGACTGATAAATTAGGTACATATGCCTCATACCTCTTTCGCATATTTATTCTCTATATAAATATTAACACCTCAGCAGTCCATTGATAAAGGTAGCTGATTAACTTTGCTTAATTCAGGAGTTCCAAAGTCTATTTGGACATTGAGCTCTATTTTCCCAGTTCACAACTAGGAAAAAACCTTAAAGTATGTTTTAGAAAATGTTAGTTTAGGGGTGGCCCTATAGTACAGTGGTTTATGGGAGCTGGATCCCACTTGGCTGACCATAATAGCCTGAAAAAACACAGCAGGCACATGTGCATCCATGTCCAAAATTCCAATAGGGTAGAGAAATGAAGGAAAAAGGATTGTGGTATAATCAGGCCCCATGGGGGAAAGGGGTGCTTTCTCTTCTCTCTCTCTCATGTGTACACACATGCTCTCTGACATTAAAAAAATAGGATTAAATGTTCCTACTTGTTTTATTTAGATATACAGTCACGTGCCACATTATGACAGGTCAGTCAGTGGCAGACCACATACACAACAGCGGTCCCATTGGGAAGGCAGAGACTACACTAAATAGCCTAAATGTGAGGTAAACTCTACCATCTAGGTGTTTGTAGGTACACTCGATGATGGCACACAATACCATACCCAGCTCTGTTTAAGACAGGGTCTTGCTATCTTGCCCAAGCCTTGAACCTTTGATCTTTCTGCCTTAGCTTCCCAAGTTGCTGGGATGACAGTGCATGCCTGTGGGTCAGAATTGTGTCTGAGACTTCCATGTGGTTATAGTCATACAACACAGTGTCTTAGTGGTGCACACCATTGTGGTTGGGCCTTGACTGTAGATTTTATTTCTTTAAGAGGTTAAATATATTGAAGTAGTACTATTGGGTCAAAAATTAGATCAGCCTTTATATGTGCTTTTATATGGTATACATTTTAAATTATGAGCTCCTGATAGACAGCAGTCTTAAAAATAACTCTGGGGGCCAGTAGGTGGTGTGGTGGTTAAGGCGCTGGACTCCCACATGGATGATAGTGGTTTGAATCCTGAACCTGGTGGTTTGCTTGCTCACTTTTTCTCTCTCTCTCTTTCTCTATCAAGTGCATGACCACTATAGCAAATTAAAATAATAATAATAATTCTTTTGTTTTTAAGAGATTCTTGCTATAGGATCCATGTGCTCATCAGAGAGACAGAGAGAAACAGAGACAGAAATCAATAAATCACCCCCCCCAGGGGGGATGGCCATGCCACAATCCCGTCTCCTCCTCTCAGGATTCTGGGCATATACGCACATGCACCTGGTCTCTCCCAGGTCTGGGACTCGAACTGTAGTAAGCCATGTAGGAGACCAGCAACATAACAATTATGCCTTCTGCTGGTCCCAATACATAATTCTTTCAAAAAATTACTTTGGTAGGACCAACTGTGATGCTGCATGATGCTGAAACTGTATGGGGAGGTCTCCAAGGTCTCCTAATGTGTGCTAAGCATGCACACATGCCCATGATCCTGACTGGCTGAGGTAGACTGTGGCATGAAGACTCGGCTGGATGTACCTGCCTTTCTCTGTCTCTCTCTTTCATAAAAGAAATAAAGTTTTTAAAAAATACTTTGGGAGACCAGCAGATGGCATAACAGTTAGGTTGCTGGACTCCCATGTAGTTGGCTGCAGTCTGAGTCTCCCACCCTGCAGCTTAAAACTCACATCGAGTGCTTATGCGTGAGTGCCCAAAGTCCTGAGAGGAGAATGGAGGAGAAGGGATTGTGGCATGGTCATCCCCCATTGGGGGGGGGGCAGTGATTTATCCATCTCTCTCTGCCTCTCTGACAAGCACATGTGTCCTATAGTAAAAATCCCTTTGTCAAAGCAAAACAAAACAAACAAACAAAAAGAAAAAACTCAAGCTGGGCACGTGTCCATGTGTACCTCTAATCCCGAGAGGAGAATAAAGGAGAAGGGATTGCGGCATGGCCATCCCCTCTGGGGGGGTGATTTGTCCGTTTTTTTGTCTCTCTGTCTCTTTGGTGAGCACACACACCCTATAGCAAAAATCTCTCAAAAAAAAATTACTTGGGCAGAGTACTTCTCTTTCATCATTACAAAGGAGTTGAAACATTCTCTTTTTTCCTAGACTCTAACTTCATACCATTCAAACTAAAATATGTAGTCACTGCATACAATAGGGTTATGCTCTGCTATGCAGAAAGAAGGGAAAAAGACTAGAACAGTGCTATAATAAAAATATACACATTTAATAATTTTTTTAAAAAATTTTGCCAGAGGGTACATGCGTTCACCAAAGAGAGGGAAAGCGAAGAAGCACTCGTGGGAAATGGTCATATCACAACTCCTCCATCTCTCCCTCCTATCAGGATTTTGGGCACACACCCACATGCACCTGACATGTTTTTCAATCCACCAAGTTCAGAACTTGTACCAAATAGTCAGTCATGTGAAATCCAGCTACCTTAACCACTGGGCTACAGGCTGGACCATTTAATTCATTTTCTTTTTTTTATTTATTAATTTTAATTATTTATACATTTAATCACTATAGATAATTAAAATTGTAAAGACACGTTACCCAGCATGACATACACCTCTGCCCAGCCCAGTTGAGAATACTATACACGTCCTCATCAACAAATAAACCATATCTGTGTCCCA